ACAAACCCAATGATAACTTAGATAGTCAAACATAAAGAGTGGTTTTTTTTTCACTTAAATCTATCTATCTATAATAAAACACCTACTATTTTGAATTTTTATCTTTTATATATTTTTTTGCTCATTTCTATTACATCACTCATTTTTATCTAAGTTAAATTATTTAATTTTTGTTTAATAGGGACATTGTTCATATACCATAATTTACACAAATTGTTTTTTATGATGCACAAAATGATTTTTGCACACTACCTATCAAGTGTGAATAATAAATACAAGAAAATAATATTAGGAGATGAAGAGACACATACAATTTATTGTGGTTTGGTCAACTCGACCTACGTCCAATCTTCAATGGCTTTGACTGCCGGGTATTTTATTAACTCAAGGGTGTGGGAAGCAGAGAGTACAAGCTTTGAGGGAGAGGAGAGAGTCATGCTCAGGTAAAGTGTGATCTGCCCCCTAAGTATTGGTGGGGCTTACAATTTATAGTCGTCATCCTAACAGATTTTGGCAAGATATTAGTAAGTAATTGGCTAGTTTGTTGGATCTGGCGAGCTTTTCTCAACGTGCTAGGTAGTTGCAATGTTCTCCATGAGATTCGGTCAAAGGATGAGATGGGGTGTTGACCATTTTTAGGGCAGCGAGAATAAGGCTTTGGATGACCTTACTTGTTCCCTTAGCTCCTTGAGCTACTGAGCTTGACCAGATTGATCACACTGATGAGCTTGATCGGGTTGGCCACACTAGGTTGGATTCGCTGAATCTCTTGGAGTCAAACTATAAACTTAAACTGGGCTTATAACATGAGTTAAGTCTTTGGGCTTGACCTATCAGTTTTTTTTAAGGTCATGTATTTTGAAATAAATTTATCAATTTGTTTGTAAAATAATGAGTAAAAATTATTTTCAATTCATATAATTAAAAAAAAGGAAGGAAAAAATTTTAATATTTAATATAATGATATCAAATTTTTGGACAATTAGATTTTATATTACTTCATACCTTTAAATACGGGGTTATCGCTAGTACTTCTATATTAAACATGATCTAACATAAAAAAGAGCACTCTCACTTTTGTTTGGGAATGGGGATTAATAATTGGATTAGGGATTATTAGTTAGATGGAACAACTAAAACTCGGTCAACCCAAGTTATAATCCAATTGGTACCAATAGTGGTAGAATTTTTGGGTACCTACAAAAAAAATATCCTTTTAACATACTGTTCCATATAACTTCTTAAAATTATACGATTTTTAGGGTCATTTATCATTTTTTACAATTTTTTCGATTAAATTTAGGGTTAATTGTACTAGAAGTTCTTAAAGTATGTGTTTTATCTCATTTTAGTGATCAATATTTTAATTGCATCATTTTAATTCCTGAAATATTAAATATATATTTCGATGTAGTCCCTCAAATAGACAGTGTCTAGATTGTTAACAATTTTTTATTATAAATTTAATACGTAATACCTAAATATGAGTAAAAGAATAATTTGGATAATTTTTATCCAAATTTTGGTCAAAGAGTTGCGCAAATTACATAATTTTGATCATGAGTTATCCAAATTTTGATCAAAATTTATCCTAATTTTGGTTAAAAGTTATCCAAATTATTTTTTGTTCATATTTAGGTATTACGTGACAAGTTTATGATAAAAAATCGTTAGTAATTTAAACATTGTCTGTCTGAGGAATCACATAGAAACATATTCAATACTTCAAGGGATCAAAATGATACAATTAAAATATTAGAGATCAAAATGAGATAAAATCTATACTTTGGGGACCTCTAGTGCAATTAAACCTTAAATTTAAAATTTTTAAAATTGAACCTTGTAATATCCGATAAACTCAAGACACATGTCTAGACTATAAATGGACACATCTCTAGACGTAAGGTCTGATCCCTTTTAATTCATATCTTGTTTCTTCTTATAGAATATAATTTGCTGGGTGAATTAGCGTTTAATAGTGCATTTGAGTGAAAGTGTTTTGCTTCAAGGTTATCCATTCTCAGTAATTTCACCACTAGCTTTGAGAGAAACGTAATGGTTGTTGTCTTTCTATTTTCTATATTGGGAGTTATAGTATGTACATCAAACAGTACAATTTATGGAGTTCGTGTACGAAGTATTATATGAATACTTGGTAGATTATTGAGTTTCGAAGCAGGTAATCTCCACAGGAGAAACATTTTCCTTGCAAAACATTTGGATGGGTTGAAAGAATTTCCCGCGACTCTTTTCGCTGGTAAATATACATATTTCTCAAGAAAACGTTTCGTTGGAATTGGTATGGAATTCCCAGCGTCCAGTTTTTCTCTGCAACTTGCCAGCTTACCCCACCGAAGTTTCTAGTGAATTTTTTTGCTGGCACATGCTTTTACCAGCAAAATTATTGCTTGTTTCAGCCAAAGTTTTATCTGCTAAAGCTATTTTTTCTTGTAGTGACAAATTGTAAGAGTTGATAATTTATATGGTATTGGATTCCAATAGGATGGAGTTGGACTGATATAGATAACAATGTTAGGTGTGATGCCCCCATGTGCGACAACACCACGCGCAATAGCGCAACAGGGTGAAAACACTACCCTATCATATTGGAAGTGGCAAAATGGACTATTTACCAAAGGTGGACAAGAATGGAATCATAGAAGTCTAGGGCAACCTCGGTGAGACTCACCTCCTCCATTGCGGGAATCATATCCTTAACCTACTAGACAATGTTGCTTGATAGACCTACTGGACTAAGATGAGACGTATTCACCTAGCATTAGAGAAGTATGAACCTCTTCAAGGAAGAACTGGGCTACGAGGTGGACAAGTATGATTGTCAATCTCAGTCTAGGACAGTGTGTCGAAGGTTTAGTCTGCTCGGGCAGCCCTCCCAATGAGATATGCTTGACTGGGATCCGGAGAGACTTCTAAAGTTATTGAGATTTTTGGTTTCAAATCAACATATATGATAATAGGACATGTGGATTGGTGGTTGAAAGACCAAAATTATGTGGGTTTCCTCTATCGAACACCTTGACAAATGTCTGAAGGATTTAAAGAGGGAAGAAAGAACCCCGGGTAGGAGTACGTTGGGGGCATCGCATACCTGGCCCTCTCGACTAGTAACGATCATTAACCTTGGGAGTTCCCTTTTTTGCATCAACAATCGCACCCTCCTCGGGGCCGTATCCAGGCTGTGTTTGGATAAACGTCACATCCGCCTAATTAATGTTGGGATACATGGTTCGTGGTTAACGGCCATTGGTATCATCGCGGTGTAGACAGTTGTGGGTTAGCACGAGTGTCATAGGATCTCAACGAATAGCCCAACCTACCCAAATATTGTGTTATAAATACCTGCATTACTTGCTTACTGTAAGACATGAGATTTTTGGCTAGTGAGAGCTTTTCACCTTCCCTCTATCCAATCGATTCATCTTTTCATTAAGAGGATGTTCAAGTTCCTTCTATCACATCTACTTACCCCTACTCATTTACTTAGATTACTCTTGACATAAACAAGTGTGTCAAAATATTTTAACTCCTTACCTACAATCCCAAATATTCCTGAAAGTTGTAACTTTAATATTAAAATAGTTATATTTTTTTTAAAATTGATTCTAATATTTTGGAGAAGATTATGATGCCCATAAAAGAAAAAAATCAATATCCTAATGCCACATACACATTTTAGGGGTTATTTATAACTTCTGAAATTATCTATAAATTTTGGAGATTATTTATAACTTTTGAAAATCATTTATAAATTTTGAAGGTTATTTATAATTTTAAGTACCCCCAAGAGTTATAAAACTCCCCAAAAGTTATAATTTGAATTATAAAAGTTATAGTGGACCAAAAAAAAATATAAATTATAAATTATAACATGACCTAAAAAATTGTAATCTCAAAAAATTGTAGAACCAACAAAACCACTCAAATTTAGCAATAATAGTCTTCTCCCTAATATTTAAAAATTGACAAGTAGATTAGAAAATTTATACAAATAGTATAGGATTTTTGCACTTTGCAACTTGAAAGATGTCTCAATTTCAACTTTTCACCTTGGACAATTATTTTTTTCACTTTACACCTTGAATGTCATCAATTAGTTTTAATGTTGTCCTTAGATTAACATTCGTTTCAGATTTCATTAAAAATTAATGCACATACCACCTAAGAATATGAATGATGACATGTGTGATATGTGCATCAAATTTTAACAAAATTTGAAATGAATATTAGTTCGAAGGTTATATTGAAACTAATTTATGACATTCAAAGTGTAATGTGAGAATAATAATATTTTAGGATAGAGAATCGAGAAGCTTTTTCCCAAATCCAGCCCCCCCTGAAATTTTTATTCCCCAACCCAGCTTGTTTTAAACTTATTTTCTAAACCCAGTCTTTTTTTTAAAAATGTCATTTGGAATGACGTCTTCATGGGTTAAAACATCATTTTAAATGACGTTTGTAAACTGAATTTTTTTTATTAAAAATATCATTCAAAGTGACGTTTTTGAAATCATCATTTTTAATGACGTTTTTTAAAATGAATTTTGAAATGGCAACTAACAGACGTTAAAAAAAATGGGAGTCGAAAACATCATTTTCAATGACATTTTCAAAAATGCCATTGTAAATGACATTCTTGACATAGCTTGCACAATCTCCTCCATACCCGGGCGATTCGATGGATCTTTCTTTATGCAACTCTCAATTAATTTGACCATAAAAATGGCAAGCTCCACTGGATAATTATCTTGTAAACAAGGATCCATGAAGTTTTTCAGATTCCCCTTTCCATCCTCCTGATGAATCACAAAAAATAAGACCCCTTCAGGAAGAAGATTAATTTCTTTCCCACTAAGTACCTCCATCAGGAGGACCCCAAATGCATACACATCAAGCTTTGGAAAGACCAGTCCATTCTCCAAATACTTAGGAGCCATGTAACCTTTGGTCCCTACTATGTGCTTTGTCAAGACAAATTCACCTTATTTCCCATCTGTTGACCTTGCTAGATTGAAGTTCGTGATTTTTGCCCTGAAATCGACATCAAGAAGAACATTACTGCTCTTTACATCCTTGTGGACATACGCGGGAGAGGCATAGTTATGGAGATAATTAAGCCCTGAGGCAACATCCGAGACAATCTGTATTCTCTGTATCCAATTCAAGAAATTTTGATCTCCATCCATGTAATAGAGCCAGTCACCCAACGGTCCATTGACAACATACTCATAAACAAGGTACCAATTCCCATCATTGAAACAAACGCCTGAGAGGCGAATAAGATTGAAATGGTTGATTTTGCTTATCAAATTGATTTCATGAGACACATCTCCATTAATTTTCTTAATGGCTGCAAAATCGCCATTGATCGTGCCACGAAAAACGGAACCCTTGATGCAACAACTAGGACTGAAATTATTTGTTGCAGATTGTAGTTTTTCAAAAATGTACACTTTAAGGTATTGGGCTATATTGTGTATACCCTCCAAGAAGAACTTCTCTAGTTTTTCCTCCGCTTTTGTCTTATTTGGTTTCTCATGTGCCTTAAAGACCTCTGAATCAACAATTGAGTCATGTTTCTTCTTTTTATGAAAGAACAAGCAAAAGACAATAGCCCCAAGGACCACTGTAAGGGAAAACCCTCCAAGAGGTCCAACTACAACATATATCCATGTCTTGCTTGAACTATTATTCGATGAAGGGATTGATGGTGGTGGTGGTGGCACTTTCCTGGATTGGTTACTTGGTGGGTTTTGGAGAGGAACTAGAAGGGTGGTGAAGGGATATACTGTGAAGTCTTCTTCTAAAAGCCCATTGTCTTCAAGAGTACTCCCAGTATCCACTCCAACTTGTTCACTTATGACTGGGACAGATTGGTCAGTAGTGACTAAATAACTCACTTTCATAATAGGATGGAATTAGTTGTAGTTGTGGCTGGTTACCACTATTATAATAGTTTAACTAGGCAGCGTTGTCGTAGTATGCCACCTATAGGACCTGGATTTATGACAAAAGTACTGAACGGTGATGACAATTTATGCTGGGAAATGCTTCGGATGGATAAACATGTTTTTCACAAGTTATGTGACACTCTTCGACAGAGGGCCATGTTACGTGACACAGCTAGTGTGATGATTGAGGAGCAGCTGGTTATTTTCTTGAACACTGTTGGTCACAATGAGCGTAACAAAGTAATCCGAGTTTCCCTCAGATTCCTGAAGGTTATCTCCAAATTAGCCATTACAGAGCCAGTTGCTTCTTCATTTTGTTTTTTGTAATTTCACATATCATACATTTTAAAATAGCCCTAAATTTATTCATAAGGAGTTCTATGTTACAGGAAAATACTATCTTGTTGATCTAGGCTACTCAAATAGGGATGGATTTATTGCTCCATTTCAAGAAGTTCGGTACCACCTCCACGAATACAAGGGTGCCAATTAGTTACCAAGAAATGCAAAGGAGCTATTTGTTGTGATCGTGCAGCAATTATGGTGAATAATAAGGAATCAATCAATTAAGAAAGCGAGAGAAAATAACACAAAGATTTATGTGGTTCGGCAATGTGCCTACATCCACTAGAGCGAGCGGTCGTTCTATTCCATTATTCAAAGTATGATTACATCTTAAGTATTTATATAATCCTATTACGGACGTATTTACAAAATACCCCTGTAGCCACACATACTCTAACAATCTCCACCTTGGAAAATATTCATTCCTTAGGAGAAAAAAGAGAACATGTATCCGAGAACTCCACCTGGGATGCTAAGTTGGGGCATATCCCATCTAGCAACTGGAGACATTAATCAAGTCCAAGCAGTGCTTGAACTTGTCTGTTGTAATAGGCTTTGTCAACATGTTTACTGCATTCTCAAAAGTGTAAACTTTCTCAAGTAATAATTCACTAGAAGAAACCAACTCCCTGATCTTATGAAACCTCACATCTATGTGCTTGGTCCTCGCATGATACACCTAGTTCTTTGCCAAATAAATGACACTCTAATTGTCACAATGCAACTGAACTCCACCTTGCTGGGCACCCAGCTCCTTGACTAAACCTGTAAACCACAAAGCCTCCTTGGCAGCCTCAACTACTGCCATATACTCTGACTCAGTAGTAGATAGTGCAACTATAGGTTTTACCATGGACTGCCAACAAATAGGTCCTTCCACGAGAGTAAACACATAACCTGTGGTAGACCTCCTGTCATCCAAGTCCCTTGCATAATCTGCATTCACATATCCCACAACTGAAGGGTCATTCTGTTGTCTGCTAAACATGATACCATAGTCTGTAGTGTCCCTCAAGTATCTGAAAATCCCCTTGACTGCATCCCAATGCTGTCGACCGAAATTTGAAAGAAACTTGCTAACCACGCTGATAGCTTGTGCCAAATCTAGTCTTATACAAACCATAGCATACATCAAACACCTCACTGCACTAGCATATGAGACCTTTGACATGTCATGAACTTCATCATTTGTCTTTGGGTACTGAACGGTAGACAATCTGAAATGATTTGCCAAAGGTGTACTTACTAGTTTTGCATAACTCATGTTGAACCTGTACAACACATTCTCAACATAGCTATGCTGAGATAGCCATAATCTCCTGGAAGCTCTGTCCCTGCAAATCTCCATCCCAAGAATCTTCCTGGCCGCACCCAAATCCTTTATGTCAAATTTTTCTGCTCAACAAATTCTTCAAGTTGTTGACCTCACGCATACTCTTGGTAGCAATCAACATATCATCCACATAAAGTAACAGAAAAATAAATGAATCATCATCAAGGCTTTTCACATAGACACAACAATTATACTCACACCTTTTGTAGCCAATTCGGATCATGTAAGAGTCAAATCGCTTGTACCACTGCCTCGGAGACTACTTCAGCCTATAAAGTGATTTTTTCAAATTACAGACCAAATGTTCCTCTCCAGGGAGACTGGTTGTACCATGTAAACCTGTTCCTCCAACTCGCCATGAAGGAAAGCTGTCTTTACATCCATCTGTTCCAACTGCATATCAGAATGTGCTACTAACGCCAACACTGTCCTGATGGAAGTGTGTCTGACCACAAGGGAGAAGATCTCATCATAGTCAACCCCTTTTTTCTGTGAGTAACCCTTTGCTACTAGACGAGCCTTGAATTTTTTCCCCCTCCTTTTCTGATACTGCTTATTTCTTCTTATACACCCATTTGCAACCTATCGCTCTCTTCCCCTCGAGAAGCTCCACCAACTCCCATGTCTGGTTCTTATGCAGAGACTTCATCTCCTCCACCATAGCACCCATCCATCTACTTTTCTCTTGGCTTTGTACTGCCTCCTGAAAAGTTGTAGGATCCCCGCTACTAGTAATAAGCGCATAAGAAACCAAATCTTCAAAACCACACTTGGTAGGCGGCTTGATATTACGTTTGGGCTTGTCTCTGGCTATACTGTGATGCTGCTAATCACCTGAGATAGAACTCTATACATGTTGAGCATCCTCTTCTCTACCATAGTTCTCTAGCTCCACCTGCACCACATACTCATTAGTGCTACAGTTTTCTGGCACTTGTTTCTTTTCTTCCTGAGTACGCTGCAACATGACTTTTTCATCAAAAATCACATATCTACTGACCACCATCTTANACAATTTTCTGGCACTTGTTTCTCTTCTTCCTGAGTACGCTGCAACATGACTTTTTCATCAAAAACCACATCTCTACTGACCACCATCTTATTTGCCTTCGGATCCTAGAGCTTGAAGCCTTTCACCCCTTTCTGATATCCCAGAAAGATACACTTTCTAGACTTCGCATCAAGCTTTGACCTCTCCTCACTAGAAACATGTACATAGGCTGGACATCCAAACACTCTCAAACCAGAGTATTCTACCTCACTGCCTATCCACACCTCCTCTAATACTTTTTCATCTAGTGCTCCCCTCGGTGATTNACCTCTCCTCACTAGAAACATGTACATAGGCTGAACATCCAAACACTCTCAAACCAGAGTATTCTACCTCACTGCCTATCCACACCTCCTATAATACTTTTCCATCTAGTGCTCCCCTCGGCGATCTGTTAATCAAGAAACATGCCATATTCACTGCCTCTGTCCATAAATTCTTTGCAAGCCTTGCATTCAACCTGAGACACCAAGCTTTCTCAGCTATCATTCTGTTCATCCTTTCTGCTACACCATTTTGTTGTGGTGTCCTGCGGACTGTGAAATGTCTCTTGATCCCATGCTGCTCACACAACTCTTGGAACTTTGAATCTATATACTCAGTACCATTATCTGACTTGAGGCATTTAATCTTCCTCCCTGTCTGGTTCTCTACTTCAGCTTTCCACAGCTTGAACTTGGCAAATATTTTGGACTTATGCCGCATGAAGTACACCCAAACCTTTCGTGAGTAGTCATCAATGATTCTCACGAAATACATGTATCCTCCCCGTGATACTACGTTGAATGGTCCCCAAACATCAGTATGGACATAGTTGAGAATCCCCTCTGTCTTGTGTGTGGCTATCTTGAACTGCACCCTGTTCTGTTTTCCAAGAACACAATATTTGCAAAAATTGAGCTTGCATGTATTGACACCCTTCAATAGATTTTTCTTATGAAGCTCTATCATCCCACGCTCACTCATATGACCCAGCCGCATATGCCACAAGACTGTACTATCTGATTCAGACTCTACAGCAGCAACTCCACCTACAATCGTGGTACCCAGCAGTCTGTAAATATTTCCTTCTACTTTCTGTCCCTTCATCACTGTCAGCATGCCTTTACTCACTTTCATTACTCAACTTATAGATTTGTAATTATAACCATTACAATCTAAAGTGCCAAATAAAATTAGATTCTTCCTTAGATCCTGTACATGTCTAACATCACACAACGTTCTAGCCACACCATAAAACATCTCAATTCTAATATTCCTTATTCCAACAACTTTGCAGGATGCATCGTTACCCATCATAACAGGATCAGAATTTATTGACCTGTAGGTGTCAAGCCAATATTTGTTGGGTGTCATGTGATAGGAACATACTGAATCCATAATCCAGAAATTTGTTAGACGATCTGAACCGGATGAAATAGAAAGCATATCACCGTCACCGCTCTTTGAATAATCTTCTTCCACTACGTTTGCAGACTTTGATGGACCCTCTTTGTCCTTTGAATTCTCTTTCTTTTTCTCTGGACAATCCCGTTTAAAGTGCCCCTTTTTTCCGCACTTGTAACGCGAGATGGAGACGCCATTCTTCTTCCTCGATTTGGACCGGGTTTTATTGTTACTCGATCCATTCCGAGATTTGCTTCTTCCATGTTACTGGTTACCTTTACCACAAGCCCTTCACCTTGTGAAGTCTCATCACTGACTTTCGTCTGCTGATGAAAACCTAACAGAGCACCTGTGACATCCTCCAACTCGAGGGTTTCTTTCCCCTACATCAGAGTCGTAACTAAATTCTCGTACGTAGGAGACGCTGGTAGGAAATTCAACAACATCAACGCCTTGTCTTCGTCTTCGAACTTCACATCAACTCGCTTCAGATCACAGATGATTTGATTGAACAGGTTAACGTGTTGGCTCAGATTCGAGCCCTCTGACATCTTAAGACCATATAGTTTCTGCTTAAGATAGAGCTTGTTCGTCAACGACTTGGACATATACNCATCTCAATTCTAATATTCCTTATTCCAACAACTTTGCAGGATGCATCGTTACCCATCAGAACAGAACCAGAATTTATTGACTTGTAGGTGTCAAGCCAATATTTGTTGGGTGTCATGTGATAGGAACATACTGAATCCATAATCCAGAAATTTGTTAGACGATCTGAACCGGATGAAATAGAAAGCATATCACCGTCACCGCTCTTTGAATAATCTTCTTCCACTACGTTTGCAGACTTTGATGGACCCTCTTTGTCCTTTGAATTCTCTTTCTTTTTCTCTGGACAATCCCGTTTAAAGTGCCCCTTTTTCCCGCACTTGTAACGCGAGATGGAGACGTCCTTCTTCTTCCTCGATTTGGACCGGGCTTTATTGTTACCCGATCCATTCCGAGATTTGCTTCTTCCACGTTACTGGTTACCTTTTACCACAAGCCCTTCACCTTGTGAAGTCTCATCACTGGCTTTCTTCCGCTGATGAAAACCTAACAGAGCACCTGTGACATCCTCCAACTCGAGGGTTTCTTTCCCCTACATCAGAGTCGTAACTAAATTCTCGTACGTAGGAGACGCTGGTAGGAAATTCAGCAACATCAACGCCTTGTCTTCGTCTTCGAACTTCACATCAACTCGCTTCAGATCACAGATGATTTGATTGAACACGTTAACGTGTTGGCTCAGATTCGAGCCCTCTGACATCTTAAGACCATATAGTTTCTGCTTAAGATAGAGCTTGTTCGTCAACGACTTGGACATATACTGACTTTCTAGTTTCAACCAAACTTTCGCTNTTCGAGCCCTCTGACATCTTAAGACCATATAGTTTCTACTTAAGATAGAGCTTATTCGTCAACGACTTGGACATATACTGAATTTTTAGTTTCAACCAAACTTTCGCTGGTGATTTCTCATCCATGACGTGATACATCACGTCATCAGCCAGACAAAACCTAATAGTCGCCACAGCTTTCGTTTTCAATTCTTTCCAATCCATGTCGTCCATTACTGCCGGTTGTTTTCCGTATAACGCCTTCACCATGCCCTGCTGCACTAATAGGTCCTTCACCCTCCTCTGCCATAATCTGAAATTTTCAATTTTGTCGAACTTCATCATGTCGAATTTTGCAGAAGAAATCCCAGACATCGTAGCCTGGCTCTGATACCAATTTTTGTGATCGTGCAGCAATTATGATGAATAATAAGAAATTAATCAATTAAACAAGCAAGAGAAAATAACACAGAGATTTATGTGGTTCGACAATGTACCTACATCCACTGGAGCGAGTGGCCATTCTATTCCATTATTTAAAGTAGGGTTACATCTTAAGTATTTATATAACCCTAGTACGGATGTATTTACAAAATATTCTTGTACCGTACCGTAGGGACGTTGCCCCCGTACCCCAAAGTAATCGTTCCGCTCCGGCATCTGCCTCCTTGTCATGGTATACACAGCAAATATGAGCCATACATACTCTAACACTATTTAATCAACTTGATATACTTTTGGCTGCCTCTATACAAGAGCAAATTGCATTGTCACTAAGAGACTCGATTACTGCAGCAATGTGGAATGACTTTGAGACTCCATTATTTCTTGCCTCATTCAAACACAACAAAGGGACATATTTCATATTCACCAACTCGACAATTAAATTCAACTAGACAAAAATAACATAAGAAACCAAGATGAGGAAAAAATCTACAAATAAGCCATTATATATTGAAAAGATTTCCATTTCATATTCACAATTTTTGATATTTCAAAGATACACAAAATTTTCATGCCATCTGCAACAGAGGTATTGCAACTATATTGCACATATGTTCTTTGATGATAACCAGCGCCATCAAACTTGTCAGAATTCACTCCTAGAACTGGAATTGAATCGTCCATGGAATGGCTAGCTTGCCGTCCAAATAACTTAAAACCTGCGATGTCTAAAGCTGTAAACCACTCAAGCTTCTCTACCTATGAAGATATGAATGTTATTCTTGTAAACCACTGCACTGATTGATGGACACAAACACAATAAAAAGAAAATCATAAGTAAATTATTAGCCACAATACACATTAACAAATGGATAACCAATTTATTTTCAAATATAGTTGGGAGACTTTACCCAAGAAATGGGTCAAAAAATGGAAAGATCAGAACATGGGAATACGCATGCCTTGTTAACTGTATCATATAGGATCCAACGATATTTACACAAGATACTAGTCTGGGTGGATTTCCAAGAAAAATCTAATGTAATATTTCTATAAAACTTTATTTCCTTTTCTTATTAATTTCACCCGTTAAAAGTTTTGCAAGGCCCATCTCTCTACAGCATGAGATATTCTGACCTTAAGAAATGTGGACACATCACATTACTTATGTGAGTTTTTCTCTTCAATAGTGCTGATAAGTTGTTGTAGACTACTTATCTACAAAGTAAACAGTTGTTATGGATTAGAGAGATACCAGACTACCCTACTATGAACCACTGTCAGTTGTGTTTTTAATTTCTTTATTTTCNCAGTTGTTATGGATTAGAGAGATACCAGATTACCCTACTATGAACCACTGTCAGCTGTGTTTTTAATTTCTTTATTTTCTGTTGGTTCTAGCATATCACTATAAGGTGGTTGTTACACAAGCCAGAAACACGTGCTACAATATGATTACCTTAGCAATCTTTCAGAATGAAGAAATCCATACCATGTTGTCTAGTTATATTAATTTTCCAGTCACAACGATGAGCTATCATGGAAAATGACATCGAAATTACTCAAAAATGTTTGTAGTCCAGACCTACCCTAACAAATTCAACAAAACTCAAAAATCCCATTAACAGTAAAGTGCCAAAAATCATAACTTTGCACCAAACCAGTAGAACAAAACTGGTACCCATCTTGAAATTGAGAAAATCACAAATAATGCCCCAGCAAAAGGGTATAATTTCCAATTCACAAAATGCATATCAAAACATACACAAACGGTACATCTAAACAATGAAGTATATTCACATTAATCTATTGAACATTCTTAAAGTACCCAAGGTTAAATAAAATGAACAAACAATCAACACACATTTGAACCTCTGGCCCATAAATTTCTAAAGAAAAAGAGACAGAGACCACACTACCTTCGGTAGGTTGCCGGAGTAGCTAAAGGAGCAATTGTTAGAGGACAGGCCGCTTTCTACACAGAGAGACTCCATAGCTTTGTGAATTCCTTCTCCCACCTAAGATCTTTTGTCGGAGGAGTGGTTCTTCGTCGGCGGAGTGTCTTCGCCGGAGGTAGACTCCTGGGCTGGAGTGGTCTTCGTCGACGGTAAAAGCTTAAAAATGACTGATCTTTGCCGGAGGTGTAGAGTGGAGAAGATCGGTATTATGCGTGATGGGTTTAGTTTAGACAGATTAGGGATTTTGTGAATTAGGAAATTTAGGAAAATTTGGGATCCGACTATAAGGGCATAAAACGTAATTGTAAATGATGTTTTTTTATCACTTATTTTTTTTTTAACGTCTGTAAGTTGCCGTTTGAAAATTTATGAGTTAAAATGTCATTAAAAATGACACATTTAAAAACGTCATTTGACGTATTTTTAAAAAACAAATTCCAGTTTAAAAACGTCAATTAAAATGACGTTTTAACTTATAAAAGCGTCATTTTAAATGACTTTTTTAATAAAATACTTCATCCATTCCTAAATAACTGTCGTTTTATACAATTTTTTTTTGTTCCATAATATCTGTCGTTTAATAAATTAAAATATAATTAATATTTTTTCTTCTAAATTTACCTTTAACTTTTCAATGTATTAGATTAGGTGGAGGTTAAGTGTCTTTCATATTTCTTTCCTTTCTAATACGTATTGAATAAAAGTATTTTAATTTTGTGTAATTATTTTTACTCATATTACAATTATTTAATAATTTCTTTAATACTTGTATAAAAATGTTAAACGATTAATTTAAGGAATTAAGATCCTAGGGAGGCTGAGTTTGAAAAAAAAACTCGGAAATCGTGACATCTTTTAAAATATAAAATATAAAAAACCGAATAGTTTATATAGTTTGTCTTCATCCATTAAAGTCTACCTAGAAAGTACACGCCGAGCTTCTTCAATCTGGTAAATTTTCATACCGGGAAATCTCGAGTCCTCATCTGGCCGTAGTTTTCTGTTCGAATTTTCTTCTGGGTAAGTTTTCTTTCTCTCTTAATGCTTCTCTTTTGGTCCTCTGCACCGGGTTTGATGCTGGGTGATTGAATGGCCCTAATTTTCTTTATCACAGACAAACACATTATCTTTGGATTTCTACAGAATCGGAAAATTTGAGTTCTTTCTGTGACATCCTTGATCTCCATCTGGGTGTGCTTCGTGAAATTGTACTACTCTCTGAATTTGGTTCTGGGTATGCTTGATTTCCTAGATACTGGATCCCATTTATGAAGATAAATCATGCATTTGGGTCTGGTAGTCCCAAGTCTTTCCAGGTCTACCGTAGAGGTGATTTTGATCTAGAATCTGGAACTATTAAAAGAACCAGAAAGCCAAAAAATTCACCTCTTCATCCATTCAAAATGATCAAATCCATTGGAAACCGAATTCAATACTATTCCAAGCTGCACCCCATCATGGTTTTCTTCATTTCATTGTCAGTTGGGGTCACAATTCTCATGGTACTATCTCTTTACGAGAGCCAATTCAGAATGATGAGTAATTATAAGAAATCTGATAAGGGTTCCGATACCTATCCGTTTGCAAAGTTTCGGAATCTTGTAATGGTTGCTGGGCATTCAGTGTACACAAGTAGTAGTTGTGAGAAGGTTGATAAGGAGAATGCTTGGTTTTTGGAGTCTTATCAAAAGCATCCGGGTCAAGCTGCTACGTTTGTGACACATATACAGGAGGGAATAGAAGTTGCAGCTAGAGATGATGAGGCTTTGCTCTTGTTTAGCGGTGGAGAGACTCGGAAAGATGCTGGGCCTAGAAGCGAGGCACAGAGTTACTGGATTGTTGCTGAATCAAAAGGATGGTTTGGTGAGTTGCACTTTCTTAAAAGTTTTAAACCTTTGAACTTACCTGTTTTGATGTTACGTAAAAGAAAACTAGGAATCCTGGCTAGTAAGGGGTTGGTTCATCTCTGTTTGTTTGTGTTTGCGAGTGCTTTTGTGTTGGTGGTTATTGTAATCCTTAAGTCTGAGTTCATATCTAAACCTATCAGCCCTATAAATGATGAACATTTGGTTTCGAAGATATCACTTTGACATGGATAAATTCGTTTGTTAAATATTACAGTCTCTAAAATTTTGTGAAATCAACTTAGGCACCTCACTTATAAGGTAAGAAAAAAAAATAGTTCAATCGAATCTTTGGATTTGTCTGCAAAACCACTGTTTGCATCTTCAGGCTAGTTCAACTGTTCAAGTAAAACAAAATTAACTTTTAAGCAACTGTTGCTCCATTTAGCACACGACAATGGTAGAACCTACAGCACTTGAGACATTTCCTATTTAGGAATTGCTTTGCATGTTTTCTTGGAATTTACAGGATAAGCAAATAAGAACTGTGTGAATGATTTTGTCCTCATATGTTGTGCACAAATAGAATCTGTCGTTTCTTGCCTGGGAATCCCTTTGTGCTTAGTTCAATCATTTGAAACTTACGCTCTTACTTGATGCATTGCATAATGCTACGCTGTGTTTAGGCAGTCCACATGTCAGAACAATCATTCCTAAATGATATGCATGGTGACCCTGAGCCAGATCATTGTTAAGCAGCAATATCAAATGATCAACTGTGTCATGATGGAATAAACACTCCCATGTTAAGAAATCTTACGTATCCTAACGGCAGGGTATATCATTCATATTCTGGACCCGTGCTGAGAATGTCTGACTTAAAATTAAGCAGCAAGTTATATTAGCTGTTGGAGTTCACATTCAGATCATGAGCCATCTGTCATTTATTATAGATAGTTTAACTGCAGGCTGCACAAGTAGAAAAAAAAGTAGAAAAACAAAGGGGTTTCCCTTTTGTTCCATTATTTGGTTATTTGTTTATTTTGTGTTGGGAGTTGGAGGTAAGAGTTTTGGGTTTCGAAATAAATATGGCTGATAACTGATGTTGAAACTGAAACATTATGGCAGTCATGACTCAGACAAAAAAAGTTGCTGCTAGGCTTGCAGCTGTTTGTGCCTTACCCTCAAGTTTTCATGTTCTGTAAAGCACTGAAAATGGAGAAGTAGACACCCTCCTTTGCCTTTGGTGTTTCAAGATACAGTTGGTGTCCCTAATATATGTGACTATGTTAGCCTTACAATACTTTGGACTAGTATTTGGATGCTATTTACTTGGCCCATTATCATTCACTAGGGTTGAAATATACACTAGATCCTGTTTTCCTGCGTCATCCTGGATTTGGGCCAATTGTTGCTAATCTGGACAGATGGAGGGGTATAATCCCCAATAAGCTGTGTTTTCTAAGAAGCACGTATTTAATTTATTCGGAGCATGGTGTGGATAAAAAACCGAAAGAGAAAGGATTTGGGATGTAAAAGCAGAGGTAATAATATTTGTTGTAAGGAAAGGGTGATGCTGCTGAGAAATGGTGGCATTGCTGGAGAGTCTGGTGGTGAATATCTCTTGGCGGTGGTAATGGTGGCATTGGATGTCATGGCCATAGTGGTATTAGGGGGGTGGAGACAGTGCATGGTGCCATTTTTTTAAATTCTGGCACTGGTATGGATGGTCATGGTGTTGATGTTTTAAAGTAATGTATCTGGTGACATATGTGGTGTGGTGACAATCCATAGATATTGGCTGTTATTGCTGGTGGTGGGTATATGCAATTGATGGAGATGGTTGTGGTAATACGAAGAGTAGACAAAATGCTATATCTATATCGGGTATATTCCTCTGCCGAAATAGTGTTTACTATCTCGTTATCCCTCTCTCCCGAATGTAGTTCATTTCAAGGGCCATCGTGAAACAGTTATCTGGCATCCTAACCGCGTCTTTATTTAACATCTTTTATTGATCTATGTGGCTCCCTTCTGTACAAGATTATGTTCCTTTTTGCAATGGCTTTGTACACTGCAATATTGCAGCTGTGGACAAAAACCATATATGCTTTCTAAATCTCGTCTGCTTTGTCGTTATTTTGATGTTGGTATTGAAATTTGCCTAATATGTATACAAGTTTCAGTAATCTGATTCTGCTTGTGTACTGTAATGTCGCCAATGTCTGCATAGGCAAGAAAGAAATCGTGAGGCTGAGGGCACTCACAGAAGAATATGCAAGAGACAGTTTTGAGAATCTTCTCTTTAGTGTTTGCCGGTTTCGGGAGCTTACTGGCACGTATCCACATAATATAACGGTAAGGCCATATATTGTCAACATTTTCTTCATTTCTGTAAAAGTTGAAAACTGAAACACTTCCCTAGGATATATTTCTGAGATCAAAGACTAACAAATTTTTGACTTACTCAAAATAAAATGACTTCCCCTAGTTCAGATGTTGATTACAACACTTTTAACCAGGTTATTGCTTTTCTTTTGGATCACCAAAACGTCTTTATTCACCATCTCAACCTATGTCTTTCTTGGTCTTGTCGTGCCAGTCCTTCCTAGACAATTGTTTGCCCAAGAATAAACCATCGTAAATGACTTTCTTATGTCATCTTTATTTGTTGCTACCTCTTAATTCTCATGGATCTGGTTTTCTTCTATTCCATTTCATCTTGCTACTTACCGGTTCCAACATCTAAATTTCAGCTATTTGTATCCTATACATGTTTGTGAATCACCTTACGTAAGTCCTACTCAGCACGGCAATTTTCCTTGGTAAATAATCAATTAAATTGACAGTGATATAATTTTGCAACCTGTGCTGAATTTGAACCTGAAATACTAAATACAAGCTCTGTTTTCAACTTGAAATCCAGGTTGTGGGTTATGATTTCAAGGAAGAGAGGTTTGTCCATCTGCACCGCTCTGCAATTAGGTTCCCGGATACAAGGTTCTTTTACTCGGGGACCCCATCTTCATCTACCTCAAGGGAAGCAGCTTTGAAAGGCGAAGCCTTGGTGAGGACTCAATTCCAAGATGATCCTTATGGGTGTTTAGGTTCACTACGTCGCAAAAAGCTGGGGCGCGATCCTTTTCACCGGTCAATCCCTTACCCTAATGGGTGTCCTGAACTTGAAGGTTTGTTCAAATACTGTGGGGTAGCTCCATTTCCAGGCTCCCTCCCTTGGGCTGTGTAAAAAAAATTACTGTCTTTTGATCTGAGAACTTAGGATTACAAACTAAGCCAATACAAAATAGATGCTTTATCCAACAATCAAGTAGGCTTTTTTCTGTATTTTTTAGTAATATATATATTTTTTATTTGCTAGAATGGGGAATTCCTTATTATGTTTTGGTCTGCTTTATGGTTATAACTCGTGGCTACAAGACCATTACATTGATAAAATCCACATTTCGAAACTCAAGTGATTTTTACATTGAATGATCTGTTTTATGAGCAACTTATGCTGAGTAATCCAGGGCTCTTCTTTTACACATCTTAGTTTTCCTCGCAAAGCAATTTATTCGGAAAACTTAACAATGATAAAAAATGGAATGGAAAGAAAGAGTTTCTATTGTTTGGTTAGAAAGGAAAATTGGAGAGAAAGTGTTTATCTCCCGCCCACCATTTTAGGAAAATTGAAGATAAATTATTTTTTTGAATAAATTCACTTTTTTGTCATTAAATATATTTCTAAATATTATTTCATAATTTCAAATCAAAATTTGCACATTTTTCAAGAAACACTTCTAAGTATCATATTACATATCTTTTTTTGTGTATGTTTTTTGGCTATTATTTTTAGTATACATATCTATATTTATTAGTTTATTTATTTTTATAATTAATTAGAGTGACCATGAATCTTTAAAAATTTATTTGTAATAAAAAATGTTTTTATATGTATGGGCATAGTGGTAAATTAAGTAAATGTATCATTTTTTTTCTTCCATTTTTCTTCCAATATCAAGCAATAGAAAATTATTTCTTCCAACTTTTCATTTATTTTACTAAATAAAAAGGAGGGAAAATATATTTTTTTTTCAATGATAGAAAGTTTATCCCTCATATTTTTTTATCCTTTCAACTTTTTTTTCTCCTATCAAATGTAACGATTAACAAAACATTAAGCCTCACCCCAAAAATAGCAAGTGAACTATAAAATGAACACAACGCAAAAGTTGATAAATTCTACCTAAATGATGGTACTAATACCCAAAACGGCTGGACATATTTTCAAATGTACTAAAAACTTTGGCCAAGGCATAGATTTTGTGCGGGCGTTGAAAGTACACTTTGTACAGACGGAGAAGGTGGCAGAGAAGCCTTAGTGAACCCACAAGACAAGAAAACGCCTAGGTGAACCGATGGCCAGAGATGGCCAAAGGGATTTCGATGCTTAAATCAGTAAGCTAGTAGAAGAAAAAATGTATAGTGAATAGGCTCGGATTCCCATTCCCTACCTGGTACTCATAGTCTTTATTTATAATGACATAAAAAGCCGTGTTCCAAGTAAAGTTGAACTCCAGGTTGTGATAAGATAGACCTCATCACCAATCCTTTAGATGTTTGAGGTAGAGTCGTAGTAGGACGTTGAGTTTTTACTCGTAAGAAGGGATATGCTTGCTGAGAGGCTTTGTTTATCAATATTCACTTAATACTCAGAGTTAAGTTTTACTAGCACTCTAAGTCCCAACCCTAGATGGGCGGCGCCCTTGGGTACTATTGACGACGCTGGAGACTGGCAAGGTGCTTTGGGCGATGCCAGAGGGGCTAGGCAACGCCAGGAAGACTGGCTAGCGCCTTGGCTGACGCCAGGAGAGCTGAGCAGGACCTTGGGCGACGCCAAGAGTGCTGGACAGGCACTTGGGCGATGCTAGGAGTGCTATGGGCGACCCTGGAGTGCTGTGGTGCTTGGGTGTTATTGTGGGCGGCGCCCCACTTCTCCTTTAGTGGAGATCAGTGCACGTGCAGGGATGCAAAAGATTGTGTGTGTGTCATGTGGAAAAAAGGAAAGGTTTTATTATAATAATGATAATCAGTCCAAGCAAAGTCATACAAAAATTTATATTATAATATTGACAGTAAGTAAAAGCAAGGGCATACAAATATTATATTATAATAATAATAGTAAGTAAAAGCAAACCCAGACAAATAGCCACATCCATGAGATAACTATATATGTTGATGTTAGCCAAGAAACAAATAAGAATTGGTGCTATGTGGACGACGCCATGGGCTAGTGGGCGGCACCCCACTACTGCCTCTATCTTACAATTGCCCCCATATCTTATTTAACGAATTAAATTAAATGAGGTATAAATCAAGACTTTTTTTTTTAGAGTTATTATTATTATTTTTATTTTTTTTGTGTCTCAAGTCTTTGAATTGCAACTGTGAAGGTTGGCGTATGGGATGCAACCGTAAAGGTTAGCTTTAGGAGGTGCAACCATGACGGTTGGCGTATGGGATGCAACCGTAGAGGTTGGCTTTTAGAGGTGCAACCATGGCGGTCGGTGTAAGGGATACAACCGTAGATGTTATTTTAAGAGGTGCAACTGTAGAGGTTGACTTTAAAAGTGCAACCGTAGAGGTTGGCTTTAAGAGGGCTCAAAGTTGCAAAGAACAAGCTTCTCTTTATTGATGATCTAGAATGAATGTCGTTGTAGACTTATTGTAATGATAAGGCATTACTATCTAGAAGTAAAACTTTCTAAGGTTGATGATGTTCCAAGGTTGGCGAACTAATTTGCCATCGAGCTCCTCCAATCTATAGGCTCATGTCCCTGCTCGTGCCACGACCCTGTAAGGTCCTCCCAGTTAGGGCCCAACTTGCCATCTGTAGGTTCTTTAGTTTGAGTGAGAACCTTATGAAGAACCAAGTCACTAGGTGTGAAGCTCCTTTCTTTAACCTTCTTGTTGTAGGATCTAACTAACTCCTATTGATATGCTGTTAGCCGAACCATTACTTGGTCCCTTCTTTCTTCAATAAGATCCAAGTTATGTTCAAGGGTTTGATCATTATTACCTTGCTCATAGACCTCAGTTCTTATAGTTGGTAGACCTACTTCAAGAGGAATTACGACCTCTATACCGTATGAGAGGGAGAAAAGGCATCTCTCCTGTAGAACACCTTGGAGTTGTTTGGTAAGCCCAAAACACCTTTGGAAGTTGCTCCACCCACCTTCCTTTGGTTGCTTCCAACTTCTTTTTGATGCTATCAAGGATGACCTTATTCAAAGCTTCAGCTTGCCCATTAGATTGAGGGTAAGTAGGGGAGGAATAATAATTGCGAACCCCATATCCCGAATAGAATTCTTTGAACGCTGAGCTATCAAATTGAGTGCCATTTTTAGATATAAGGGCGTAATGAATTACATACCTTATGATTATATTCTCCTATACAAACTTCTTGGTATTAGTGTCGTGGATGTTGGAGAGGGCCTTGGCCTTAATCCACTTTGTAAAGTAATCAGTTATAGTGATGAGATACCTTTTGTTGGATGGAGCCCGAGGAAGGGGACCTACTATATCGATACCCCGTTAAGCTACTGGCCAAGGGCTCGTGAGTGGGTTTAGGTCACCTGCTGGCTGTCGAGGTATAGTAACAAACCTTTGACACTTGTCGCACTTCCTCACGTATACCTGTGCATCCTTCTACATATACATCCACCAATGCCCCTGGGAGATGACCCTTAAGGCAAGGCTTCTTCTTTCAGTATGGGCACCACATACCCCTTTGTGGATCTCATAGAGTAGATCCTCCACTTTGCTAGGGTGGACACATAGTAAGTACGGCCCTGAGAAAGACCTCCTATAAAGCTTATGATCTAGTGACAACCAGTAACGGGTTGACTTTGAGACAATGAGTCTTGCCTCATTCTTATCCTCTGGGAGAGTCCCATTCTTGAGATATTGGACAAGAGGGTCCATCCAACTCGATGCTTACTCCCCGCAATTGACTTCTACTGGGTCCTCATGTATACTTGGTTTCTCAAGATACTCCACTTCAATGGTTCGCTTTAAACCTTGTTTATTAGCGGAAGCTAGAGTAGCAAGAACATCTGCATGTTCATTCTGGTCTATTGGGATCTGGATTATCTTGTAGGACTTCAACTGTCCAAGCAAGTCCTTTGCCTTCTCAAGGTACCAGGTCATTGTGTTTGAATGGGCGTTGTACTCCCTGGATAGTTGGTTGACCACCAATTGAGAATTGGAGTATATAGTCAACTCTTTTGCCCCCAGTCTCAATGCTGCTCGTACACCAAAGATTAATGCATCGTACTCAGCCTCGTTGTTAGTGGCAGCAAACCCCAACCGGAGGGCCTGCTCCAGGACTTCCTCATGAAGGGAGAACAAGACAATACCAGCCCCAGATCTTTTCCGGGTTGAGGATCCATCAACTTGTAACTCCCAAGGCTGAGACCTAAGAGCCAAGCTCCATGCTACTATCTATTCTTTTGGTAGTTCATACGTAAACTCTGCTATGAAGTCGGCTAAGACCTATGCTTTAATCGTTGTTCTTGGAATGAATTTGAGGTCGTACTACCCCAGCTCAAGTGACCACTTTGCAATGCGACTAGAGAGATCTGTCTTACTAAGTATACTCCTCAAGGAGGTGTCTAGTGATTATCACAATGGTGTGTGCTTGGAAATAGTGGTTCAGCTTACGAGAAGTTATAACCAAGGCAAACAGGAGTTTTTTGAGGGGAGTATACCTGGTCTTTGCCCCCAATAAATTCTTGCTTACAAAATAGATAAGTTTTTGCACCCTCCCTTCTGTCCGTAACAACACTCCACTTATAGCGTGTTCAGATACAACTAAATAAAGTTGAAGCTTTTCCCCCTACGAAGGGGTGGAGAGCAAAAGAAGTGTTTGGAGGTAGCTTTTCAAGTCATCGAGGGCCTTATCACACATCATCCCAATGGAAGGCCTGACCTGCTCTAAGCAACTGAAAGAAGGGTTTGTATCGGTCTGAAGATCGATTGGTAAATCGGTTAAGGGCCGCAGCCATGCCTGTTAACCTCTGGACTTCCTTGATTGAGAAAGGCTTCTTAATTGCCTGCAAAGCCTTAATCTAATCTGGATTAGCTTCTATCCCTGTTCGTGTCACCAAGTGTCCTAAGAACTTCCTAGAGCTCACTCCAAAGGCACACTTTGAGGCGTTAAGTATGAGCTTGTGATGCTTCAAGATA